TTTCCTCAGTCATTCACTTTCAGTTTGATGAAGTAGAATTTGCTTTTTTTTAAAAAAAAAAAAAAAACAATTAGGTGAAATTTTCAGGAATGGAAACACAGATATAAGCCCTTTCAGAGGCCTGCATTGTCTTTTCCTTTCTTAGATTCAGTAATTATCCCAATTAAATACCCAAGAATTAGTTATCCAAATTATATTATTTGGGATGATTCCTTATCTCAAAACATTTTAGCCAAGTTTATCCAATTCATCATTATAGGGGCAGCAAGAAGCAATTCCTGTATTTTGCTTCTTTTTCTTTGAGTCTTGTCATTTTGACTACATCTGAGAGATCACATGTGCTCCAAAGTTTAGACATCTCTGGATGTCAAATCATGTTTCAATGAATCCTACCTGAAGCTCACACAACTAAGGTATATGTTTTTTTTAAAAAAATAACTGCATTTTCATTTTTTGTTCCGATTTAGATACAAGGACGACAAGGAGTCTATTTAAACAGCATATGTGTTTATCCCATGCCATGCAGCCATTCTGCCTTCCCTTGCTTTAATACAACCCCAACAAGACACATAGATTAATTAATTAAAATTAATTAAGAAGTTAGAACAGCTAACGAAGTTTCAGGATGATGGAAAGGATCTCCAAGAACATGGAACATGTGTTGACAATGAATAATTCTTTGCAAAATTCTATTAACCAATGCACAATTGCATTTGTCGAAAGATTTGTCCAGAATTTCCTGTAATTCCAAGATTCTCCAAAGCTTCCTGTAATTGTAAGATTCTCAGCTTTTCAAAACCTTGTGTTCCAACTATCTATTAGTAGCCCTGTTGCATTTAGTAAGTCATGCAATTTGCCACAGAATTCCTCAATGTCTTCCATCATCATGTTTGTGGCTTAGAGCAGACTAGCATAACATCAATATTACCTCAATAGCCACTAATTTCTACATCCTTATTTCATGTCAAATCCTACATCACTGTAATCACTCTGTGTACTGGATGAAGCAAGCTGCAGATTCCAAAATCTTATGCCTTTCAATAACATTTGTTAGCTGGAAAACATGCTGCCAGACTCCTGATTTTTTTTTTTTTGTCATTTATTGGGTGATAACCAAAGAACATACTTTGCAACATCACCATTCCAATCCTTTGCATGATCTCATGGCCCGAATATAATTTACAGCAGCCCATTCTGGTTGTCCTGTATGTGTCTATTCTCAAAATATTCAATTTAGTAACGTAATTTCCTCTTTTAGCATTTTAGCTTTTCTTGGATTTGCTTCCCACATTCCAATTTCTAACCATATTGCCCTCATAAAATAAGACACTCTTCTTTTAGGATAGGCAGGATCAGCGAATAATGTCCATACAATTTTAACTACTTTATCAACTCCAGAGCTGCATATGAAGATTAATGCACTTCATCAGTAGCTTCACCTAATCTGAAGATGCCATCATCTAATATCCAAACTAATCTGTTGGCTACTAGACAGACTGGTTTGCCACTGTCACTTTCTGGATTTGATTCTGGGATTCCTGGTCCTAGATGGATTATTTTATCTCAAGCCACAACTCTCCTCGCTCCTGTAATAAATTTCATTCCTCCCCTTTCAATCTGAGCAGAAGTAACCTTGCCTGGAGTTCAAGATGGCCATTTGCAATGGTTTCAAGTTCATTGTTGCTACTGTAAACTCCCATGCACCCAGGCACTTAACTTCTGATTAACAAAACCCAAATATAAATCTCAATCTAATTAGAATTAAGACTCTCAACAGATTCATACATACATACATTCCTTCACATTGCAATTACCGGAAAACAACTGGGTTTCCTACCATTGATCATTAAGGCAACAGTTGGAAATCTATGTTAATAGAGTTAGGCTGCTCTGTTTGTTTCTAATCTTCCATGTGTGATCAAAGGAAGGAGTAAAAAAAGCTTGTTTCCAATGCACAGGCCTCATATTCATGTGAGTGAATGTAAAAATTTTAAACCTATGAGCCAATTCTGGCGGCAAAGAACATCTTCATCATCAATTCTAATGTTCTTAAACAAAGGATGGAATGTAAATTACATTGCAAAGAACATGTATACATGCACACACATACACACACACACACACACACACACACAGTTCCGTCCTAAGCAGGAAATAAATCCAGAGGCAGATATTCAATAGGGCTGTAATATTTTTGGGGACTGAGACTGAAGAACTGAAAATGCTTCCAGACCAGAGCTTTGTAAGAGCAGCTGGGTGATCAAACCAGGAATCCCGCTGCAGCATAACCATATTTCAGTCTGAATATTACTCCTATTGGGCTTTGGCGAGCCCTTTAAGTGGCCCCTGGTCTCAGCACAGCAGTCTCTCTGGCGCTCCGACACGAGCAGACGGATTCACCCAAGCATCAAAGCCCTTGCTTCTCTTTCAACAGCAGCCCAGCTTTGAAATATCTGGAGAATAAGCCAGGCCTGCATGCATCAATCAGGCCACCGATATCCCAGCCAATTGTGAAGGTCCCTTGATGATAGAAACCCCCATGCCAAGAAATTCTGAGAAATTTTACATGGAAGGACTTCCCTTCCTAGCTCTGTTAAAAGCCATGTTCTCCACCCTGTGCTGGAATACCAATAACTCTCTATGCTCAAGGATCCAGGCAGCCTCCGTGACATGCTGCTTCCGTGGATGAGTAATCCAATGCCTTTAAGACACGTCGAATGCATGTTTCAGGTCTTGCATGATGTCAGCTAAAAGTAGTGTTGCCTGTTCATCTCACCCACATTAACAAGAAAAGCCAGCTTTATGCACACACACCCAAAATTCTTCTACCTCTCAAACCTACTAAGGATCACAGGCTTAGGATACAGGAGGATCTGGACAGACTTGAACACTGGGCACTATCTAACAAAATGAAATTCAGTGGTGAAAAAAGTTAAGGTTCTACATTTAGGCAAGAAAAACCAAATGTACAGGTATAGTATAGGGGGTACCTTGCTCAATAGTAGCAACTGTGAGAGGGACCTCGGAGTCCTAGTGGACAATCACTTAAATATGAGCCAGCCGTGTGCTGCAGCTGCCAAAAAGGCCAACACAGTGCTGGGCTGCATTAACAGAGGAATAGAATCAAGATCATGTGAAGTATTAATACCACTTTACAATGCCTTGGTAAGGCCACACTTGGAATACTGCATCCAGTTTTGGTCACCACGATGTAAAAAAGATGTTGAGACTCTAGAAAGAGGACAGAGAAGAGCAACAAAGATGATTAGGGGACTGGAGGCTAAAACATATAAGGAACGGCTGCTAGAATTGGGTATGTCTAGTTTAACGAAGAGAAGGACAAGGGGGGACATGATAGCAGTGTTCCAATATCTCAGGGGCTGCCATAAAGAAGAGGGAATTAAGCTATTCTCCAAAGCACCTGAAGGCAGGACAAGAAGCAACGGGTGGAAACTAATCAAGGAGAGAAGTAACCTAGAACTAAGGAGAAACTTCCTGACAGTTAGAACAATTAACCAGTGGAACAACCTGCCTCCAGAAGTGGTGAATGCTCCAACACTGGAAGTTTTTAAGAAGAGACTGGACAGCCATTTGTCTGAAATGGTATAGGGTTTCCTGCCTGAGCAGGAGGTTGGACTAGATGACCTCCAAGGTACCTTCCAACCTCATCATCATCATTATTATTAATGTATGTCACCAAATCAATTCTAAAGTGCCTATCTTAATCTCCCAGTTATGCAAGGAACAAAAGCTTAATTCGTTTATTCTTTTCGGTTTGCAATTCCGGTAGTCCTCAACTAACCACCATTTGTTTAGTGACCATTTGAAGTTACAAAGGCATTGAAAAAAAAGTGACTTATGACTGGTCCTTACAATTCTGCAGCATCCCCAGAGACACCTGATCAAAATTGGGGCACTTGGCAATCGGCACGTATTTAGAATGGATTCAGCATCCTAGAGTCACGTGATCACCATTGCAACCTTCCAGCCAGCTTTGGACACGCAGCCAATGGGGACAGCTGGATTCACTTAATGACATAATTCACTTAATACCCTGTAGTGATTTGCCTAACAATTGTGGGGGGGGAGCCATAAAATGGGTGTGACTCACTTAACTACCTTGTTTAGCAACATAAATTCTGGACCCAGTTGTGACCTTAAGTCAAGGACTAACTGAACCTAATTTTTTTTCCCATTATTCATTTGTTTGACTCATATTTCTTTTGTTCATCCATTGATTCACTCTTTGTGGAATTTTTAAAATAAACTTGCTTTTAAATTTGGGCAGTTGTATTTTAATTCAGCTTTGAAGAATATATTTGGGGCATTTGAATAACGATGATACAGCCAAACCTGATGTGAATCATTTCACATTCAGAAGGCTTGAAAACATCCAATTGGATGGTAAAATATTAGAACTAAAGAAGCTTCCAAAATATTTAAGGAAAAAACCAAGAAAGTCCAGTTGCCATTTGGAAAAGCACCTTTGGGATAACCATGACATGGCTGATTGCAGTGGTGGGATTCAAATATATGAACAACCGGTTCTCTGTGTGGATGCCGCTTCCAGAAGTCCATTCTGGGCCTGGGCAACAAAAAATTAGCTACCGGTTCTGCCAAACTGGTGCGAACTGGCTGAATCCCACCACTGGATGATTGAGAATTTCCATGGACATGAGGTAAAATACTAGTTTATGTAATATTATCTCAAAATAGAGTAAGCTTGTTTTTCTTCAAGGAGCAATAAACCTGTATTTGCAGTTACATGGGATATTTAACAACCAATTTCAAGTCTTTACAAGTTTGTAGTATGTATCTGTAACTGCACAGAATTCACACTTGTTACAAAAATCTTAATAGTGTTCTTTTTTAAAAATACTTAATATATCAGTACATTTAAACATGATCCTTATGATAGCATCCTGGCAATGTGTCAGGACAGCCACAGAAATCTATCATCTAAACATTGTGTAAAACACTGACAAGAAGCAACCACCAAATTCAGTTTTGTGACAGCTTTAATGGCACAAAATTTTATAGCTACACCTTATACATGTAAACTGTATATTATCATGTTACAAAGTGCTAACTAAAGATGAAGAATGCATAATCACTTTGGCTCATTTAACTCAATAACTTCAGCAATCTGTCTTTCATTGTTGTTGTTGTTTTTAAAAAGCGATTTCTTAGTTTTCAGTTCTCACTTCTTAAAAACAGTAAATAGTTGAATTTGTTTGCTTTGTTTAGTGTTGCAGTTCAGCCTGCTGCTTTTTTCTAATGTGCAAGCTTATGCATTTCTGCTTGATCCTATGTACAAATGTCGCATCCCATATTTCATTCATTGTTTGAAAAATGAGGCCTGTATTTCCCCTCAAACTGTAAACAAGTATAAAGCTACTTAATAATGTTTAACTTAAACAAAGCATTACAACTGATATCTCTTTCAAATTTTAACAAACTGGTCCATTTTGTAATATAAAAAGTTAGGATATCTCAAGCTTCTAATCAGTTAGTAATAAATACTGCTTTGGAACACTGCAGTGGCAACAAGCTCAACAGTGATCAGGTACATAAATGCCAATGATGTTTTTCCATCAGTTTTAATCCCACAGATGCCTAAATAATATTGAAAGTACTGATTCACAAGCATACAGGCCTTCTAGCTGATCAAATAGCATCCTGCAGATCAGTTATAATGTATTTTGGACAGCTTTCCTCCCCTCCCCCCCCGCTTTTTAATAAACATGGTCCAAATTTCATACAGATGTTATGATCCAATTACGACAAAATGCAATAAAATAATTGGTTTTGAAAAGTGCTCTGGACTTTTACGCTTGGTTTTTAAAGAATCCTTATTCTATTTAATCACCTCAAAATTATTCCAATATCCACACAGGAAATAAATACATAATTGCAAGTAATACAAGTGCTACTATTCAAAGCTGAAAGGGCATAAAACCTTTCACAGGTTTTCAAGAATATGTGTAACTTAGTGGATGGAAGGGGGAGAGAGAGAAAGATTGAGATTTCCAGTAAATTATAGAAAAACCAGGCTGAAACAAAGGTATTTTAGGAATAGATATCATGAAAATCCTCTCCACTTCACACATTTCACTTATTTCAGCGGTACTACCTATTGTTCTTGCACTATTACGTTTTCAGAAGTCTATCATCTCTTAAGATTTTGTATATGCTTTATTGTCAGTCTAATAATATCACAGAATCTACTGATTTCTGCCAGTTTTAAAATCAGCCATGCTTACCTCAATACGTAGCATGTGAAGCCTTCTTCAAATTAAGCTTACTTGCTGATGGACATCCTCGACCAGCCCTTGTGGCTTTCTTGGCAACAAATATGGAACTAACCTATTGGTAGCCTCTTCTAGTTTTTATTGAGTTCCTAAGTCTAGTCTGCAATCTTTGCATTGCTTTGTGGTTTCCCCTCTAAATACACATCAGACCCAACTTTGCTTATCTTCCAAGCCTAGGTCCAGTCATCCAGGTGCTACCTCCTGCTATGATTAACATGCAGAGCACATGCGTGAGCAGGAAAAAAAAATCTCAGCAGGTACCACAAACACATACACACACACAGACATACACCCACACAAAAACAGCACCTGGATAACCTAGTCTGGCATAGAACACTAAATGGGCAAGGTTAGTACTTCTGTGTGGGGGAACTACAAAGAGCAGTTGAATAATGAGGAAGGCAAAAAACTTTGTGGGAGAAGACAATAGCAAGCTATTTCTATATTCAACCAAGCAAACTCCATGAAATACAGAGGTCAATTTGAAGGAAAGCTTTCAAAATGACGCTATAAAGCTTAAACATCAAAATGAATCTATTTAGGAATATTAGTCTATATCAACTTTAAAAATTTGAATTAAGCTTCACAGTTGGGAAAAAGAAGTGTATCTGAAGCCAAACAATGCAAAATATTCCCCTTAGTAAGATTTCTAAGCTATTACCAAAGTCTTTTATGCTAATTATGACTGTAATGAAGATCTGAAACCAAAATCTTTAGGATTTCAGCAATTGCAAATGAGAGATTCAAACCATGAAAATAGAAGAAATGGAACTCAAACACAGAAGACAGCTCAAAACATGGTGCCTTAAAAAAAAAAAAAAAAAACAGAACAGCAAGACTGTTCCCAAGTAAGATACAGATATTTTACATGGAGTCTAAATACTTCAAGTCAAACTACTTTGAAAGGAAGACTTCCATTAAATAAAAAGCTGAAGAATACTAGAAATTTCTTCACATGCAAATAATGAAATAGTTTTAAAAAACCTAAATGTTGGCCAATGCTATCAGAAATAAATTCATTACTTCATGGAAACACAACCTAAAGACAGGTACTTGGTATTCAAACTTGCTGAGGAATAAAATTCTAATTCTTTTTTGATGTCTGTGAAGTTTTTGCCTCCTGAAATTAAAAAAAAAAATTAACTCAAGACAACTGCCAAATAAATTGCAGAGCGAAAATAAACCTGTCAATTAGTTTTGTTTTACAAACAGCTTCTGTTAATTCTCAGTCTCTTTTAAAAATGGGAATTGTCATACTGAAGATTTCCTTTAAGCACTGGGCAGATTATTTGGTATTGTAATAAAGAGATGGCAGAGGCATCACTGATAACAATTATAATTTGCTGGTGGCATTTTGCACTGAAAGAAGCCCTTGTGACATGTAGGCAACTGTAAACTTGGTTAGGCAACTCTGATGTGTCCTGCAGGATACGGAAGGTGGTCGGGAAAAGACAACTAGTGAAACACCTCCACAGGGTTCCAACACAATACTGAATTCCAAGAGTTAGCGGAACCGGGATATGTATAAAAAAGTGAAGGTTGGGGAGGGAGAGAAAGATCATGCTTAGAATTGTCTCAAGTTCCAATGGTACTAGTAGGACATTAATTCCTTCACAGATCATCACAAGATTTCCAGGATTTGTGCATGCTTCTTTCAGTAAGTGCTAGCTGAAGGTGTGGTCAGTCGCTTTCCAATGTAGATACTGCAATGAAATGCAAAGCAAAGTACATTGGTACTTTATATCTGCTGCCTGCCCCAAAGATCTGTTCGGCTTACTTTATTCTTCCAAACTAATTCTAACATCCATCAAAGAAAATCAAAATGTATTAAGGAAACATTGTTACTCATTCATATATTTTTTTACAAAGCATGAAAACATGATGTGCAGCTAACATGTTTCAAGAAGAAAATTATCATTAGTATCTGCAGTTGGCAAAGAAAGTAAAGATGTTGCAACTCTATGGCTTATTTTGTGTAGGTGGACAGGGATCTCTTACTTCATTTCTTTAATTAGAAGTAGGTGCCTGGTATCTGAGAAAGCACATGGTACTGTGCACGCTTTTCTCCTGCATTCCTGAAGTATTTTGTTTGCTATTTAGTTATATTAAATCTGGGCAAATATGTTCAATTCTCTAGAGCATACAACCATTGACAGATTGTTGCTCATGTAATAGATCAAGAGTAGTTTTTTTGCATGGAAATACTATGAGCTCCTTGGTGTTGAAATGCAAAATTATCTCCAGAGCTAAAGAGTCATTATCTCTGGTTTTCTACTTGGATCTAAAAACAAAATGTAACAAAGTAGATCCCAAAGTACCATTCCTCACTTACAATTTCCTCCTTCTCAGACAGAAATTACATAAAGGCATTGTTGGGACCATTCAAATTAGGCTTTTAAGGCAAAGTAATTGTAACATTGTCAAGAAACCTGAAAATTACATCTATGGATTTTCAAAACATTCTGAAAACTGACAACTGTTTCTTAACAGAGGGTAGTGATTGTGCTTGTTGTTTATCAGTGATGGATACAAGATTTCTAAAGTAACAAACAGACTTATAATTGTTTCTACTGCTTGTTTCTAAACTAACTCCTTAATAAAAGCTCAAAGGAAAAAAAAATCTCGCAGGATGGGTATTATATATATGGCAGCTAAGCAGAACTTGATCTATCTTCCATTCATCACCATCCCAGGTTTTTTTTTTTTAACCAGGGTAACTCCAATTGCTTTAAGAAAAGCTGTCATGACATCTATAATATACATCCATCCTTTAATCATATATTTCTTGCAATTTTGTTTTGCATTCTGTTGTTACTCAATGTCAGTTCTTACTGAGAAAGAACCTACTCACAGAGATCTAAAGAAATCCAGGAGGAGCTGGGGTTACCCTTTCAGAAAAGCAATAGCAGGAATTTATTCTCCCTCTACTGTAGAATGATGGGAAAAATATTTTAGAGTTTTTCTCCCCAACATTCTGCAGCTGATTTTATAATGTCCCTCTCATTCTAGGCAATCCTGTACTAGCTCTGCTCTAAAATATTGCTCTAACTGTGTATATGCTTATTTTCTTCTCTTCAAAAACATTGGAACTTCCACTAGCACTATTCTTGGAAGTTGCTGGGAACAATTCTGGAATTCAAAGTTTTAAGAACCATTAAAAATAACTCATCATACTGATCACTCAATTTATGTAGTCATACTTACCCTAGTCCCAAAGCCAAAACATGAGATATGAAGAGAGATGGAATGAAAACCTTAAGAAATTCAGCTGAGAAAATGCCACCTTTTTTCATAGCTCCACTCTTTCTCATACTTAAAGACACTGCTCGCTTAGGATGTCTGAAGTGAAACTCCCTGAAAAAGCAGAGGGAGACAAGGAGGATAGAATATATTGTATAGAATATATTGAATTGGGGTACTTGAAAACAACAATAGAGCAAGAGTTAAATACTGTAATGGAAAGCCCTTTTAACAGACATGAAAACCTGGGTCAGTAGCTGAGAAATCTCTAACCGGAGAACATCCCATTTTTACATAACAGAAATTCTGCATGTCAGATTTTATTTGAGTTTTATTATAGATGTTTCTTCAAATTTAAGAATCCTAAAACCAAACAGCATTTTTCGGTATCTAACAAACATTAGATCAAGCTTAGCAGAAATGAGGAAATGAACAGGTCCAAATTAGTGAGCCGTAGTTAAATTATTAAGTCTTGTTAAATTACTTCTTCAATATTTTCAAGCATGGAACAATTTTGCTCCCATGATGAATATGTATTGAGATCAGACTACAGAAATCCACAGGAACAGAAATTGTTATTTTCTCATGCTGCTGATGAACAAAGCACCCCATTCACTCTTATAAAGGTAGGCAATTTATCTCAAGAAGAACCCCAGCTAGGTTTGACTCATTTCTAGAAAACAAAACCCAGCATATTTGGTTTAACAACCAAGGCAACATACATAAGCAAGTTGATGGTTAATTCCCTGGATTGCAGTGGTGAGTGGATTTTAGTGGCTCCGCTGTACTTGACCTTGGGCAAAGGACAAAGCAGTAAGACGAAATTTTGCAAAAGTTATGTCGTATACCAGTGATGGCGAACCTTTTAGAGACCGAGTGCCCAAACTGCAACCCAAAACCCACTTATGTATCATCGGGTCCCAACTGGGCATGGCCCATTGGGGGGGGGTGTGGCCCATTGGGTGGGCATGGCTTTGGTGGTAACAGCAGACTGGGTGGGACTAAAAAATTTCAATCAATTCCAACTTTGCAAGATCTTTTTTTTTTCCCACGAGAAGCATGGATTGATTGAACCCTTTTTTTGGGGGGGGAGGGCACACGGAAGTGGAGGCCTAAAGTGAAAAGGTTTTATAAAACCTAGGACTGGGGCCTAGGACTGGGGCGACAGCGCACGTGCCCACAGAGAGGGCTCTGCATGCCACCTGTGACACGCGTGCCATAAGTTCGCCACTAGGGTTATATACGGCACATGGGGAAGAGTTTTCTTTTTTTCTGCTTTTATTAAGATAGGGGTGATAAAGAACCGCTACTCTAAAGAGCATGATCAACAATTTTCATGGATTTCTTGCCTCAGAATTGTAAAGAACTTCTTAGCTAAAATTTGGTAGCTCAGTTGAAAGGGACCCGGAATGTGCAAAACATTTTAAAGCAGCTGGCTTTGGATGGTTCATTCTGAAGGTAAACCTTTGGGCAGGCAGGTGGGTTATGCCGTGCTGAGACATCAGCGAGGTTAGCTGAATAGTGGGCTATGCTGCTCTGGGGGGTCCTGAGAAGAGAGAGGGAAAAAGGGCTCTATCTGCACATGTGTTGGCTACATGACCCACAAAATCACTGTAAAACAGGGGTAGGCAACCTCGGCTATTTTATGACTCGTGGACTTCAACTCCCACTGGGAGCTGAAGTCCATGAGTCATAAAAGAGCCAAGGTTGCCTACCCCTGCTGTAAAATGTCTTTGGGTTTGACCAAAATATGGGATAGAAACATTGTGGGTTTTGTTTTTGCCAAACCTTGCTTAACCTGAAATGACTTAGTAGAAATCTGTGGAACACAGTGGCGTGACAGGGGAAACAAGTTTTCAACTTTGAGCATAGTGTAACTAGAACTCTTGAGGCTGATGGAAAGCCAAGGAAAGAGTAAAAAGAGTTTTCAACCTTACTTCCATCTTCCTCATCTGGAAGTGCTATAAAAGAACGTTGTTTTCTTTGGCTCCTATGAGTACCTACTCTTCAATATGAGCACTCAATAAGGATGGATGGAAGATACTTTGACAAACATGAAACTCAGAATCTGATCTGGGTTTTCCTGGTAAGAATACAGTTCTTAAACTTTCTTTTCATAATTCTTTTATAGGCTCCTTGGTGCGATTTGAGATTGCTTTTTTTCCCCTTGCAGACATTTCATTACCAAACTAGGTAACATCATCAGTGCTACAAGGGAGTGGGATTTGCTGTCGTTTTGTACACTAGTGGCCTGCCCTGTTAAGTGTTGGTGGGGGTGGTCTTGATGATTCCTTGATTGGGTTCTTGTTTACTTTTAGCTTATTGAAGATTATGATTAAAATAATTATTTTAATATTCTGTTGCAATCAACATTTCTTCTCAGCAAAAGTATATTTATTACAAAGGATTTCAACTCACTTGGGAGGAATATTTTCTGGTCTACTTGACCAATCTGATACCCAGTCAGCACTTTTCTTCAAAACATCCTCTTCCTTTTCGCCTTCTACTGTTTCCTCTTCAGACTGAAAATACATAATGGATAAGTTCTGTAATTCATTCAGTTCAATTGTTCCTCTTAGTATTTCCTACAGAGAAGTGATCAGGAGATAAGCAGGCAGGTCTTGTAAAAATTCAAATAAAAAACAACAACTAAAAGATTTCATTTGAACCAGTTTTATGCTATTTATAAGAAACTGTGCTTTGCTTACATAGTTCACAGTGTGCCTTTATTATTCTTTTATTGCAAAAAAACAATTATCATAATACAAAGAAGAAACATGAGCCATCAAGTCAGACTGAAATTATGGAAGGACTCAAAATACAGCTGGGAAAATAACTCTGACAAAAACTGAACTGAACAAATAGGCAGATTGTTACATATTTATCTAAAAATAACTCATTTTCTCATCCTATATGAATCAGTTTACAACGGACCTACACCCTGAAGATCCTGAAATCCTAGATAGCAGTTAAGTGTAATTGTAATGATTAAGTCTCCATGAGATTAAAAAAAAAATATATCTGTAGGTTGTAGGCAATTTACTACAGAACAATTTCCAAAAATATGACTTAAAGTATTTATGAGTGAGAGCAATATTCTTAATTAAAATTAATATTCTACCATCAAAATCCAAAAAGTGTGTTCAAAACTTTAGTTACCCCGCCATAAGAATTAACATATATCAGAACCTGTCTTAAATGTCCAGCCTTTTTTTGGAGGCACAAAGGTATACAAGTATGTTATCAAAGACTTCTTGCCATAACAACACAATTAAAATGCCTATATGACCACAAAAACTTCATTTTAAATAAAAAGAGTACCTTTTGACTGGAAAAAAATAGCAATGAGATTATTTATTAGGATTGGAGAATGAATAAAAACTCACTGCTAGAACAAAGTTTTAAAATTTTGCTATCTTAATCTTTCACAAACAGGACTTTAAGTAAAAAGAAGGAAAATACCTGAGAACTATTGTCTTTACTTGTATGCATTTCCACATCAAACATTATCTGTCCATCTTCTTGTGGAGAAGGACTGCAGAAATGAAACGTATCATTGTTATCACAAAGCATTGTTATTACAAAGTACCGTTATTAATTTTCATTTGCACCTATTACTAAAGTTTATTTAATGTTTTATATCCTATTACTACCTGAGAGTTCTCAGTGGTTCACATAATAAAACTTCTGCAGTACTTTAAAACTGCAACTTAATCATTAAACCATAAAACCTTTAGACATAACAGGAGTAAGACCAATGCAATATAAATAAGATAGCACAGTATGCACTATCATTAGAACTCTTTGCAGAACAGTTTCTTCCTGAAAGCTATCAAAGAAAGGGAGAGCCTGGTTTCCACTAGAAAACTATTCTTTTCCTTACCTCTCAGAAGCGAAGGACTACAAGGAATTTCTCAACAAGAGATCCACTAGGTTGGGCGGATTCAAGTTGGGAATAGGCAGTCCTGCAATAATCTGATGTCAAGACATAAATGACTTCACAGGTTTTAAACCCACACTTTGTATTGTAAATGGAAACCAACTCATAATTTCCAAGTAGTCTTTAAAGCAATCCCCTTGCAAAATACATTGTGTTCCTCTAACCAAGAAGTAATGAGGGCAAGAGTTACTGCAACCTTCTGCAGCAAGTAACCCTGTAATTAGTGCCCCATCTGAAGTTGGGCAAAAGTTCTCTTTGCCACCTGCTTCCACCTGCTGCCTGAGGAGTCCAGTGAGATCTCCAAATGAGGTTTATTCCCTCACATGTAGTGCTTGTCTGCCCAGGGGGAACGCTGGTGTTAAGAGAGCCCTGACAAGAGAAGAACAGCCTTAATTCTCTTCTTAGGAAACAGACGGGGCCCAAATTGAATAAGTGCACACAAAACTACTTTATAAATTTAATTGAGGAAGAAGCCGATGTTGATATTATCTGCAGTATAAAACAAATGATTGTAGATTTAATGTGTTGGCTGTGGCTATGGCTGGTCTTCTCTAAATTAGAAAATGCAATTCAAACAGTTTTTATCTGGTGCCTTCTCAGAGAATTGCAAAAGCAGTTAAATGTTTATGTTCAAAGTTGATAACAGCAACAACAACAAAAAAAGGAAGTATCATTTGCTGTTAAAACTGTCCTTGGCAAGTGGATTTGAAATAACGTAACCAGGCACATAAGAATACAGAAATTTCTGATCAATAATTTATTGTAGAAAAGCTACGAAAAAGAAAAAATTAGCAGCTGCTGGATATTAAATGCGAGTTCTACTTAAAATAATTAGCATTCACATTGCCTGAGACATTGTCTTCTGTCTACTCTGTGTTAAGAAGCTATTCTTTTTGCGGCAGAAAATTCAATTTCTGTTTTTTTTTTGCTTGTTTGTTTGTTTTAATAGTGGCCTGATTTAGCATCGGGTTGTTTACCCTGCCTATTAACTTTCACATTTGTCTCCTGGACAACTTTCCTTGTCTCTGCTTATATGTGCCTTTTCCTTGCCCCTTTCTTTAATAAGGTGTTCCTCTTTATAGGAGTTAAACTCCTCTGTTATTTCCCTGGGAGAAAATACAGCCACACCCACCTCCACTAAATCATTCAGTATCTAATTCCTGAACCAGCTCTCTTCCCTGGTAAGCAACATACCAGCAGCAGACTGAAATTGATAGTTTAAGACATTTTTAATTTGATTAAGAGAATTAATCATCGGATGCACAGCATATTAAGAGATGAATGATCACTAGCAGAACGTGCTTCTATTTCTACATTTCGATTATAGGGGGAAAAAAGCATATTTTTATAATACTGAAAAAGCTAGTGTTGCTTTTATTCAGTTTTATTATCTTTGTGACTACCAATAATAAGTAGAAAATTTCTAATGTAAAATAATTGTATGAAGACTTAGCATGAATTCCTAATACATGCAGTTTCAGTGATATGATGAAGATCTGCTTCCTAACACATTGAAACACAAGGTCACAAATGGCATTTTATTAAAAGAGGCTTCAAACTTTTAAGCAGTGAAGATAATCATCTTTAACAGAAGCAGACAGTTTGAGGGCACAGATGTAATACAGACCTAGTGTAATAATGAAGGTCTGACTTTTTAATTCTGTGGTTTTAGTGTCTTGTTAAGTTTATCACCACTTTAATATAATACAAGCATAATGGATTCTTGTCCACATAATTGTTTTTAGTAAAGAAACAGGTTTCTCCCCATCCAAATATACGGTATTCCATAAATAGCAAGTATCTACTGCAAAAGGCTCATCAAAAATAAACATAGATTTAAACAACAACTGATTATGCGAGGCACTCAACCAACTGCAAAATATTTTTCCAGGCCTTCAGAATTTCCTTCTATTCTCCCTTATATAATACAAGAAACTTTAATAAAACTGAAAAGCTGAAAATCCTTAAAAAGGAATTTACATATTATTTATATAGCAACTATTAATATAATCTCTGGCTTAATATGAGATGTAAATCCAGCTAAACTTGCATTCTAGGAAATGAAATGATATTAGTAACAGTTCCCAAAAAATAATTCATTCCAAAGTATTTTAAAAATGTAAAAAAATAAATGCTTACCTGTCACAATGAGAACTACCCCGTGAACTGTTTTGTCCAGACTCATGCTGAGCATCGAGAAGTATTTTCTCCATATCTCCATTGTGGATGGAAGATGAAGAAGGAACATGTTCTAGACCCCCATTTTTTGCATTGCTGTTGTCGTTGTCATTCCCATTCCCATTCATCTGCAGTTCTACCCAGGAACCTATTGAATAGCCAGATATCTCATCAGAAACTGTAAACCAAATCCAAATAGAGCTTTTACACTTTCTTGTAAAAATATGCAGCCATACCAAAATTTGATTACTGGAAAGAAAGCAAATAATGCTTTATTTACCCCCAAACTATTTTGAACTATTCCATGCAAAGCCTGGAATTCAAACAACTTTCTGTTTCTGATATCAGAATATATATTATATTCTCTCTATATTATATATATATAATATATATTCTCTCTATATTATATATATTATATATAATATATTAACCTAATCTCTCTTAATAGAGTTATTATTGTGGGGGGAAATAGGAGCAGGGAGGAAGGTATAGCATGGAATACTATGTATGTTTTGAACTTATAAACAAAATCCACATTATATATGTAACATAAAATAAATAAAATTATAAATCAACTGCAAAATCAATTTACTTGGAATCAAGTGAATTTGCATTAAAATTATAGAAAAATCCCCAAAGATATACAGTACCTTTGAAATTAAAAGAAATTTGATCCATCAAATTCATCTTGTGTAACCAGCAAAATTAAGATTTCTTTGAAATAAAAATCTATTTTTTATTACCTGCATTACCTCTAGTTTTCTTTATTTCAGCAACAGAATTTAGGTGAAAAAATTATATGTCACTACTGCTACTAAGCAATAGGCAGTCAAAAACTCCCACCCATCTTCTACAAATTAAAAAAAAAAAATCTACATCTAATCAAAGCATACTATGTCTTCTGCCCACTGCTGTTCCTTCATATACAGCTATTTTATATCACATGTACAAATAATTCCACAGCAAATTCATAACTACTTCTTGATATTTATACAACTACTTACCTACATGGTTGGTTCACTGTCATGTGGATGCTATTTGTTTCTATGCTCAGAGGTTATATACAAAATTCTAACTAGGAGGTAATGTAGCAAAACCCTAATGGAATAACAGAGGTATTTCAGTGTGGTTTACCTCTCTGTAATTATACATATTCCCTCTCTTTATGTGCGTATATATTCTAATCAAATGACTGAAGTCCTGTCTCCTTGCGGTCCTGTTTTATATTTATTTAACAATGTTTGTAACCTGTCCCATTCCTACAGATTTGGGAGTTTACAACAAAGTCAAAGTAAACATTTTTTTTTAAAAACCCATCATTAAAGTATCAGCAATAAAAGTATGAAGGGTACCCATAATGTTTCCACTAAGAAGACCTGTCTATATATGAATAATTTCTATGATTTTCCTTTGGAAGTATTGGGGAACTGCATTTTCCTTAAAGAGGCTATCACATGAAAGCAATGGCTCTTAATTGAAAAAAGTAACAGGAAGGTAATGGTTCCTTAACTGCTTCCCTTCAACTGTACAATATTAACTTTAATCTTCAATGCAAGCTTTTTTGTTCATATAGCTATTTCAGCAAAATGAGGAATAACTTCCCCCAAATAATTTAACTATGTATTCTTTTCTAGTAATGTTGCTGACAAAATCATATGGAATCTTACAACAAAACGCAGGCCAAGAAATATTCAGACCAGGTTCAAATATTTCCTAAAAATGCAGCTGAAAGTAACATCTGATTGTGACACATATCAATGCAATAAATTAATGCTCCCACTGTTCAAAGAAATGACTCTCTTTTTGGATAACTGTTTCACAGCAATCACAGTATTAGTTATACTAATTTATCCCTTTCCACCAAAATATCCAGACCAAAGAGTTTTTTTAAAGGTTATTTATTTAAACTATTTATAAGGCTGCCCATTTTCAAAAGAACATTAACCAGTAGTAACAAAATATCAAACACAAATCAGAGACTGCTGGTTAAAGCCCCAGAACAGGAGCAACCCCCCCCAAAAAACATAGTTATCCAAAAGATACATACTATAAATTGAAGCTACCTGGTATCCTCCACAAATTGAACAAAAATGTACAGTAGAGGAGCTGACTGATCTGGATACAAGGGAATAGTACTGTACACACAGGATTTGACAGCTAAATAAACACATTCTGACATACTCTAGTTTCCACCCAGGCCATCAGCTGTAACCTCTTTTTTAAGGTCACTAGCATAGAAATAAATTACTCCACTCCATCCATTCACAATTCCTTCATTCCATAACGTTTACTGTAGATGTATTTATGCCTCACAATTGTTTGCAAAATGCTTTTTACAACCCAGCAACCAAAGCCCATTGATATTTACTTATTTTATGCAAGTGAATAGAGTTTTCCTTCAACAAAATGTTTAAAAGGGTTATAGAAACTGGATTCAAGCTCCCAGTTCCTTCTGTCCTGAAAAAAAATGTACCACTAATTTGTACTTCTTTTGCAAAGTTCCATTCCATTCTGCCTTATAATACCCGGAGGCAGGAGGCAGTCACATGCCATCACCTCACCTCATCAACTCTGTCCACAAACCTCCCACTGTTCAAAGAAATGACTCTCTTTTTGGATGACTGTTTCACAGCAATCATATTTGTCTCTTTTTTAACCTGGCAGCAATCTACCATACAAGGGAAGCCACTTTTCAACCTGAGTAGTAGACTTAATCCAGTGCAATAAGTAAATTCCCTGTGGCATATTACATGGGGGGGGGGGGGGTTTGAGAGAGTTAGGAGGAAAAACAAGTTTGTTCAAGCATCAGCACTAAAAGACAAATACCATGACATAACAAACATCAGAAAAGTGGATTCATCATTATTCCAAACACAAAGAAACAACGAAACAGTACAGAATAAAAACTTAAGGCCATTCTGGCACGCACTTAACCTAATGCCTTTAAAAGTTTCAGAGTTATTTTTCAGAGTTATTTTTAAATGGGCAGTATATCATCCTTGATAGCTTTCAGGGAGGAAAAAAGGAGTCACTGACTTTTTAAAGCTAAGACAATAAAATGGGCAATAAACTTTAAATCGTGAAAGGCTTTTTTTTTTTAAAGTATAAGCCACTACCAGATGCCATCAGGAGATAAGGTTGGCAGAACATCCCAAAAGTGCTTTTTCTAAAAGGCAACTGGACTTTGCTTCTTTTTTTTTCTTTGAAAATGTTTCACTTCGCATCTAAGAAGCTTCTAACTCCTTGGATGAGAAGCCAAAGGTTTTCAAAGGAAAAAAAAGGAAATCCAGTTGGCTTTTCAAAGAAAAGAAGAAGAAAAAAAACCCCACACCTTTGGGACAACCATGACCTGGATGACTTGAGAATCTCCATAAGCAGAACATGATGGGTGGGGAATTATCCCTACTGATTTCCTGAGACTGGGAATTCCTTTTCAGCCCCTCTTCTCATTTCAAGGGGACTCCTTCCCATGGAAGGGCAGCTCATCTCCCTCTGCCTCCCCCCGCCCCCTTTTTGAACCAGGGGCAGTGAAAGGCACAGGGGAAAAAAAACAGAGAAGATCCAGACTCCCATCCCCATCGGCTGACTAAAAATCCCCTTTTGCTCCAGACTAATCACCCTCGTTCAGCTCAACCGACCTCCCAGGGTTGTTGTGTAGGGATCAAAGGGGGAGAATCTACCCCCGTCGGAGGCCGCCTAAAGAAACTGATTTTTCAAAGCAGCCAGTCTAATCAATGGCCCTCCTTCCCCCCCCCCACTCCCATGCTGACGCTTAAGCCTTATGGGGGTTGTAGTCCAACGCTCCAGAAGACTCCGGGTTGGGAAAGTTGCACCCACCGCTCAGGTATCCTTTCGCCCCCCTCCCTCCCTCTTCCCCCCCCCCACGCGCCTGCCACCCAGCCTTTCTCTCATTGGCTCACAGGCGCTCGTGCGGCCAGGGGACCATCCAATCCCTGACAAGCAACGGGCCCGGGGGGAGATTAACCGCCTCTTGAGGGGGGACCCCCCAATTCTCATCTCGCGCGGGAGTGGGGAGGTTGAGAGGAGAGAAGGAAGGAAGAGAAACGGGGAGAGCCGCCGCCGCCCGACCCGCCCTCAGCCCACTCACTGTTGAGGCCTGGCTCGGTGGGCGTCCCCTCGGGCGGCAGGTTGTTGTTGTTGTTGTGGTGAGACAAGTCCTGAGGGGACGACATGGCGGCGGAACGGGGCGACGGCGAGCGCGGAGCTGGTCCGTCCGAGGCAGCGCGTGGAGGAACGGAGGCAGCTCCCGAGAACAACGGCGGCGGGGAGAACAGCAGCACCGCTGGGATCGCGAAGGGGTATCTGTACGTTCCCCGACGCCAGCCCCAGCGACCCCGCCTCCTCCGAGCCGCTGCGCACGCGCCGTTGGAAGCCTGGCCCCCTAGCCGGGCCAGAGGCACCGCCCATTTACGCAGATGGAAGCTTTCCTCCCTGACGCTCCTCACGTAGGCCATTCGGAGAGGGGGGGCGTGGTGTTCCCAGGCGGGAGTGCGCATGCTTGTTCTCGAACCCCGCACGCAGCCTCTCTCAACCCGCTGCTTGATCTATTTTTGTTGCGCATGCGCCGGGCTTGTAGCCAGGATAGCTTGGGGTGCATAATGAGATCAGCGGTTGTAGCACTTTAACCAGCTAAGCGGGATGGTGCCTGGCTCCTAGTTGGATAGGGGACCACTCGGAAATCCAAGATTGTAACCAAACTAGGGAAGCTGGAAAACGTCCGCCCAAGTGGTGTTATTATTGTTATAGTAATAGTAGTAATAATAGAGTTGGAAGGGACCTTGGAGGTCATCTAGTCTAACCCCCTGCTCAGGCAGGAAACCCTATACCTTTTCAGAGGAATGGTTGTCCAATCGCTTCTTTAAAACTTCGTGTTGGAGCATTAACAACTTCTGAAGGCAGGTTGTCCCACTGATTGTTCTGTCAGGAAATTTCTCCTTAGTTCTAAGTTGTTCTCTCTTTGATAACCACTGTTTACAAGTGCTACAAATATTTACCTAGAAAATAATACATAGCAAGGAATGTTTTTTTCCCCTTTCTTTGTTAAAAACAAAGAGGGAGCTGATCCTCAGAAGATAAAAAATGACGCACAAAACATGTTTTTGGCTTTCTCTGCTTTTATAGTACTTCTTAAAAGTTTCATAAATATCAGGAAATGCACACTTCATTATCTTAAAACCAAAAGAAAAGAAGAAGCGCAAAGTATTTTAAACTTCTTGAAGCTTATGGACAGAGTTGAAGGTAATTTGGCTGCTCAGCTGTAACTGCTTCAAATGAACTGTTACTGCATGTGTCCATCAAATTAGTGCTAAAAGTTTCTCCCCATCCAGATGCAGTCTATAAATCTTTTTTTTTCAAGAAATTGATAATTCAGTTTTGCACATGCTTAAAATGCAGAATAAAAATCAAAATCGGAAAGAATAGCTATACAGGATCAAATCAAGAGCTACCGGTATCGTCACCTAGCAACATTTTGGAAGTAAAAAAACAAGATGTTAAAGCTGCCAAGGTTGAGACATTTTGTTTCTGATTGCCAATTACTTTTCACAATCAGATTGACATGATTGATTTTTTTTTTCCTTCTGTCATCCCCTTTACAATCGGCATCTGGAGACAACCTGGAGTTAAAACTGAAATTTCAACAGTAACAGTCCTCGATAGCACAGCTTTGTATGATTCTCCCTGGAAAGCTATCCAGTGGGCAACATCATGATGATAAAGAATTCCATAGACAATTCCAAGCGGCGTGAAGTATTTCTCCTAATTTTTCCAGCTAGCTTGGAAGACCCTATTCCTAATATATTGAAGGGGCTACCCTCCTCTTCTACCTGATTTTATATACCTCGAACATGTCTCCCTTCAATTTATTTTCTTCTGAACTAATCCAAGACCATTAACTTTTCTTTGGAAAAGCGGTATATAAGTCTAAGTGCTATTGCTAAAGAGCTAGCCTTCAGAAGTGCTATCTTTAGATTGGGAATATTATGGAGATTATAGAAAGTTTGGGGTTTTTACCTAAACATGGAGAATATGTGAACGCTAAAAATGGTGCATAAATATTTTAAATGGTGTGCCAACATCAATTGTTGGATCTACTGGGGACTTGAAGCATTTTTTGATCACTGTGACTTTTTCTATATCCTGTAGTAGCAAGTGTTTTTTTTTTTTTTTTTTTTTTTAAAAAATGGCAGGAAAACAGGAATGTTTATAAGGTCAAACTACAATTCTGTTCAAGTTCCTGGTAGCAATAAAAATACATTAAGTATCGGGGTTATCAGGCATGCAATGGTTTTTATCTATTCAAATCGCTTCATATTAAATTTGGTACAACATACTTTTTAAAAACAAGAAACTTTAATTTTTTTTTTCAAAAAGGAAAGAAAAGCACGGTTCTGAGAGTCTGAATCTGAAACAAGGCATTCACTGAAATTAGGACAAAGGGATTAACACATGAAAAAGTTTAGTCCCATAAAACTTTAGCACTATTCTACAAAATTCAGACACTTCCTGAATCTGACAAAATTCTGTTAAGGAGAAGAAAGGGAGAAGGCTCAAACTGGAGATGACATGAGACAAATAAGACAATTATTATTTAAGCTTAGGGCAGAATCCAAGAGTGTTCCAAAAAGTTATTTTAATGGAAACTGCAGATAAATATTAAAATGTCTTTAACAATTTCATATATAGAAGTCATTAAAAAAAAACCTTACTTCTCCCTTTCCTCATGAAAATTAATACTGGTTAAAATCATTATCAAACCATTTTATCATGTATCTTAACTTAAAAAAAAACAATTTTTAATATAAAGAGGTAGATTGAAAAGAAAAAAACAATTTGTCATTATTTGACATTTTTATTCAGTGTATTTCCCTCCCCCCCTTACGTTTTTTTTCCTTTTTCATTTTCAATGCCAGACACGGCAAGGAGTGATTGCAGTCAACATTTCATTAAAACATTTTACTCTTTGCAAGAGACCCTCCTCCCCCCCCCTTTGACCACCGACCCATTTCATGTGCTTTTCATTTCTTTTCTTCTTCTCTAGACACCACCATCACCACCACAGGGCTGGAGAAAGGGATTGTAAAAGGGAGAAGGATTCCAGGAGACATAAGAGGAATGCTACAAGCCACAGCAAGAACAAGCTGTTATTTAATTAAAAAAAAATAAGGGGGGGGCACAAATAATACAGTAATGAGGTTACACAATGAAAATCCCACAGCATTACTTGAAGGTTTCGCTCTGTGGCTGACGTCATCACAATGGAAGGCATAAAAAAAACTGGAGGAACCCAATGTTGATCCAATCTCTAGTCCATTTGGTGAGATGGTGCAAGTAGTCAATTTTACGTTAAAAAGTGCCCTACCCCCACCTAAATGGCTAGTGGAGAACTGCCCAGCAAAGAGAGAGAGAGAGAGAGAGAGAGAGAGAGAGAAAACGAGAGAGAACGAGAACCATCCATGTAGCTATCTAGAAAAAATGGGTTGTCACTATGGCACATTGTTTTAAACACTGGGGAAGGTGCAGCGCAACGAACTTCTCTCTCTCTCTCTGGCTCCATTTCTTGCCCTATATTGTTTTACAAATGCTAAGTTCTCCTCTCTGAACTAGACAGGAAGTGGATTCTTCTGACCGGACCACTACTCTAAATCCCTTTGTCTTGAAATATATACAAGTTGTTTGTAGTGGCTACAGCAATTATGTTTTCCTTGGGATGCCAGGCTGTGTGGAGGATCTTCTTGTTGAAGTCTAAGCTGTCAACGCTTATCTCATCCTTCTTCCGTTTGCCACTCGCACAGACTTTGCGGGGTTTCAAAACCGTACGGGGCTTATTGTTTTCCCGAGAAGCTTCTAACGTGACATCACGCTTGGTGTTCCTATCGAACATTCGGAAGAAGTTGTTATAGGAGCCGGTCATGACGACGCTGTGGAGAAAGAGGAGAAAAAGAGATGTTGACCTTCTGCAGCTGGTTGTTTTCATTCCACTGGTGGCACTTTATTTGCATGGATGGTGGGGATGAGGAAGCTATAGAAAAGTTACACTAATGGGACTTCTTTAATTTATCCAGTCTGTTCGGTTTAAAACATTTGCAATATGTTAGTAATTATGAAATACATGTATAGAAGTAAGATGGAGTATTTTAAATATTTTTCTTGCAAATATAAAAGCTCCTTTGATTATGTATGCTCTGAATTTTGGCGAGGAAAAAGACCCAGAGTTGTTAATTTATATACTGCAATTCTTCAGAATTGAAATTACAGATTTAAGGGACTTTGACTACTGACAATTGAATCAAGCAGTTTTTAATCAGGAAAACGAGGACACAATGATTGTATTTTTCCCTTTCAGTTCCTAATTTCTTCAGACTGAGGTTCTTGCAGGCAGCTAACTAAAAGCAAATGGATACGAAAATAAAAATTTAAAAATCTGTCAATTGGTTTTTATTCTGTTTTAACTGTATCTTTTGTATGATTTTGACTTTTTATCTGCAAGCTGCACAGAATCACTTCGATAGTGAGATTGGCAGTACCTAAATTTATTTATATTATATATATATATACTGTGTGTGTGTGTGTGTGTGTGTGTGTGTGTGTGATAAATGTAGACACTGCTTATCTCACTAATGCAGAAATATTAGCAATTGTATATGTGAGTTCTGATAGTTTATTTTTAAACATACACACTTTTTTATCAAGGTTAGCCTAGCAGCGTAAAGCCCATCAATTACAACCAATGCAGAAATTATTTACTATAGCAGCGGTTCTCAACCTTTGTGTGACGGTGACCCCCGTCACACGGCCGCACCACGCATGCATGGCGTGCATGCGTGGGGCGGCGCCCATGCGCGGTGCCGCCCCCATGTGCAGCATGCATGCGCGGTGCCGCCCCATGAGGGGGAAAAATGGTGGATCGCGTTGTTTGGCGACCCCCGTAAAATGATCGTTCGACCCCAAATGGGGTCGCGACCCATAGGTTGAGAACCGCTGTACTATAGGGAGATAATTGATGCATATCAGGAGAGCATAAACTGTATTTGCAGGAAGATCCAATCCTTACGATCTCCAGTTCATAAGATCAGAAGCATCAGTTGCTACATACAGTATGTAATACTAGGCTAAATGAACCAATTATTTGATCTTGGTAAAGGTTATATAACTGCATTCCATTCTGCCTGGATAACCTAAGATTGGGATTGGTTAATACAATTTCATCTGGAATTCACAAAGCATCAGAGGCCCCAAGCCAAACTTTGAGCTGATCTCCCTGCTCGTTCCACGTTAGTAAGTAAATAAAGATTGAATAAACATAGCAAAAAAAAAGGGTGGGGGGAGAAAACCCAGTCCCTCACAGATCAAACAATAAGTTTAAACACAAAACAGAAACTGACCCATTTAGATGCTTCACTGGATAAACCAAAATAATAAAAAAAAA